TCTTTCTTTCTGGGGCCCAGTTATTTGCCCGTTAGCCAACCCGGAGATGAGACTGAATTTATGTCTCACCAAAGAGGCACCAGGAAGGGAAGGAGAGAGACACAGAGACAGACAGGGAAAATTATGCAGAGGTTGTTGGGCTTTTTTCTCTTCTGTCTCCTCGGTAGAATGAATCCTGCCGCTCTGTCTCCGGGGAGCGGTTCGCCCTCCAGAAAATATGACACTTTATTTCCTGCCCTTGTTTGTTAACACACCCCATTACCATCCATCTCAGTTTCATGTAACTGCCAGCCGGCATTAACGCCCTCCTCCTCGCCGCCGAGGCAGAAAATAGAAAGGGAAGAATTCAGCAGATTTTCCCCCGTGGCACCCTCGGTGGCACCAAGATAACCAGAGCCGAAACCACAATTGGATTCTTATTCCTTCAGCCCAGGAATGCGAAGGACGGGACAGTTTAACCACCTTCTGCATCTTCCTGCAAAGAGAGTCGGCTTGTTATTTCGGTTGTCTGGACTCCCTTCCCTGCTACGGACAAAGATACATTAATTAATTTTTTTAATGTTAGGCAGGAGAGGTTGCAAACTGTCAGGAACTGTCAGTGGCGCCGGCCCCAATCAGGTAAGCGGCCCGCGGCGCCTGCGGCGGAGACACACTGACCCCTAGTGGCTGGCCGGGCCCTCGCAGCGCCCGCACCCCGCCCTCACTCGGTGGGAAAAAGTGGCTCCCTCCTTGGAGCAGCGACTCTGTGTGGGCTGGGGGCATGGCGGGTGCTGGGTCTCCGCCGCCTGCCCCAACGCACGCACACACACACGTGCACGCATACACGTGTGCGCACAAACACGCACACTCGTGCACATACAAACACGCATACACGTGCGCGCACAAACACGCATGCACGTGCACATACAAACACGCATACACGTGTGTGTGCGCGCACAAACACGCATGCACGTGCACACACACACACACACACACACACACACACACACACACCACGTCCAATTGCTTCTCTCCTTTTCCAGTTCCACAGAGCGTAGATTTTCTGAACCCTCAGGGTGCTAGCCCGGGCCTACAAATAAGGCCTTTTTCTTTGGTCTTGAGAAGTTGTGAAAAAGGCAGGCAGGGTCCCAGGAGGACACACAGAGAGGGAGGAAGGGAGCTGGCGTTTGTGGAGAGACCCCTTGGGGCCAGGCACTGAGCACACTTATCTCGCTGCAGCCTTAAAATAGCCCCAATGTACCGAGAATTGGAAACTGAGGCTCCGGCTGTCCAATGGCTTGTCCAAGTCACGAAGCTCATGTTTTTATCGATTGTATTGATTTTAATAAGCACATGTTTACCCAGCACGTATCTGCCAGGCATTCTTCTAGCACTTCACCTATATTAAAATGACCTATGTTGAATCCCCCATTACAACCCTAGGAGGTAAGTACGCCCATTTCACAGATGAGGAAGCCGAGGCACAGAGAGGTTAAGTAGCTACTGAGTGGTGGATCCAGCCTAGAGCCCAGGCAGCCTGGCTTCAGAGTGTTCTTCACGTATCTCTCCAGGCTTCCAGACCCACTCTTCTCCATACCTCCTTTCTCCCCCAGGGACAGAGGGCTGCAGCAGGAGAGGGAACAGCCATTCTAACTGCCGAGGAAGGAAGAAGCCTGTGGAGGAGGTGGTAGTGACGTCACAGTCAGTGCCTTCACCTTCAGAGCCTCAGGCCTGGCACCTAGGGGGTGCTTAGTACAAGCCCACTGGACTGGATCAGGAAGGCAGGTTCAAGGAAGAGGGAAGGAGGGAGGGAGGCTAAGAGGGCTGCATAAACCATAATGCTAGCTCATGCTCTACTACCACCCCATGAACAGGTATTTTCAAACACTCCCACTCTTTTTTTTTTTTTTTTGGCCAACACAAGGTGACTAGCTAAACTGTAATTGAACATTCCCTATGCCACACTCCTGTGATTACTACATCAAAAATGTGTGCCTCCCTCTTTGTATTCTATCTCATTTGAGCTACAGAGCAACCCCATGAGGTAAGTATAACCAGCCCCAATTTTACATATATAGATAGATAGATAGATAGATAGATAGATAGATAGATATAGATATATAGATAGATAGATAGATAGATATAGATATAGATATAGATATAGATAGATAGATATATTTAATTGGTTTCAGAGAGGAAGAGAGAGGGAGAGGAGAGCAACAGAAACATCCATGAGAGAGAATCATTGATCGGCTGCTTCCTGCACGCCCGACACTGGGGATTGAGCCCACAACCTGGGCATGTGCCCTGACTGGGAATCAAACTGAGACCTCCTGCTTCATAGGTCGACGTTCAACCACTGAGCCACACCGGCCAGGCAACCAGCCCCACTTTTACCATGAGAAAACAGGGCTTTTCCAAATGGGCTAAGTAACTTGTCCCAAGTTTTCCCAGCTAAGAGACCTGGCACCCAGGCTTCCTGACTCCAAAGCTCACGGCTCTCCTGCTGTCACTGCACCCAGGATCCCCTCACAGGAAAGCCCAGCCCCCACCACCACCCCAGAGGCCCTGTCCTTCCCTCAAGCAGTTGCTTGAACTGGCCAGGTCTGTTCCTGTCTTAAGACCTGAGCCCTAGCCGTTCCCTCCGCCGGGAATGCTCTTCCTGTACGTGGATCTTCACGCACTTGGCTCCTTCCTGTCATTCCGGTGTCAGCTCAAGTGTCACCTCCTCCGAAAAGCCTTCCTTGTCCACCCAACCTAAAATAGCCTTCCAGTCACTCTCTTGCATCACTGTCGTGTTTTCTTCCCAGCGGTTATGAATCTGGTGATTTCTTGTTTAGTTACTATTGTTAGTCTCATCTCATGTGTAATAAGGGCTATCAATTGCATAGCACGAACTGACTCTGCGCCAAGCGAAGTTCCAAGCGCTTTACACACAGTCAGTCATTTAATCTTCACAACCATCCCTTATCGTAAGTTCTATTATTGTCCTCATTTCACAGAAGGGGGAGCTGAGACAGGACAGCTCCAGTTACTTGTCCAAGATTCCACCTTCAAGTACGCTCTGCTCTTCGCCACTACAAAAACACCAGCCTTTCAACAACCAAAAGGCAGCCATTGGATTTTCAAATGGGTAAAGGATTTAAATAGACATTTCTTCAAAGATACATAAATGGCCAATAAATACGTGAAAAGATGGTCGATATCACTAGTCATTAGGAAAATGCGATCACAACTACAATAAGATACCCCTTCACGCCCCCTCGGGTGGCTGTCATTTAAAAAGATAACCAATGTTGGCAAGGATGAGAACGTGGAATCCTCGGACAATGCTGGTGGGAATGTATAATAGCGCAGCCACTGGCGTAAACAGTTTGGTGGTTCCTCGAAACGTTAGACATCGAATGCCTTGTGACCTGCAATTCTACTCCGAGAAACTGTATATATCCAAGTGACTTGAAAACAGAGACTCAAAACACAAATGTGGGCCCGAATGTTCATAGCAGCGCTATTCGCAACAGCCGGCAGGTGGCAAGAACCCCAATGTCCATCAACGGATGAACGGATGAACCGAATGTGGCGTTTCCACACAATGGGATATCAGTCAGCCACAGAAAGGCCCGAACGAAGGACTGACATACTACAAAATGGACGACTCTGAAAAGCATATGCTAGCCGTGGCCCCCGGATCTGTCTCTCGCTTCAGCCATGTTTGGACGGAGCAGACCCAGGGACGCCCCTTCTTCCAGCCTCTGACCCCCTCCCACCTCTTTTCCAGTCACCGCCTTTGGAACCACGTCAGCCATCCTCCACCTCCAAGACCAGACACCGTTTTTTTATCTTAACTCCTTATTGCCGAACAGCCATGAGCTCCCAAATTCGTCAGAATTATTCCACCGAGGTGGAGGCTGCCTCTGCGGGCCCCCCCGCACCTACCTCTCTCTGGGCTTCTATTTCCACCCGAGGATGTGGCTCTCGAACAGCCATGAGCTCCCAAATTCGTGAGAATTATTCCACCGAGGTGGAGGCTGCCGTCAACCGCCTGGCCAGCCTGCATCTGGGACTCCCGCACCTACCTCTCTCTGGGCTTCTATTTCCACCTGAGGATGTGGTTCTCCAGGGCGGGACCACTTCTTACTACTTGGCGGAGAAGAAGCGCGATGTGAGGGCGCAGAGTGTCTCTTAAAGATGCAAAACCAGCGTGTCGGCCGCATTTTCCAGGACGCGCTGCTGAAGCCTCCCAAGACGAGTGGGCAAAACTCAGGACCATGGAAGCCAGCCTGGCCTTGGAGAGGAACCTGACCCAGGCCCTTTTGGAGCTGCAGACCCTGGGTTCTGCCCCCGAAGACCCTCAGCTCTGTGGCTTCCTGCAGAACCACTTCCGGGGTGAGGAGGTGAAACTCATCAAGAAGACGGGCGACACCTGACCCACCTCTGCAGGCTGCCGAGTAACCCTTCGAAAGGCTCACCCTCCAGCACGACTAGGAGCCTTTGGAGCCGAGGCCTTTGAGGGTCCCCTCTGCATCCCCCTGGAACCACTAGGCAGCCTTTTAACCATCCCAGAGCCCTCTCCCATGCATTAGACCAAATAGAAACAATAAAGCTTTTTGCAGGAGGGGAGCGGCGGGGAAGCTGCCCAGTCGGATGGCTCGGTTGGAGCATGGTCCTGTCGTACACCAAAAAGGTTCCAGGTTCTATTCCTGGTCAGGTCACATACCTAGGTTATGGGTTCGATCCTGGTTGGGGCATGTACAGCAGGCAACCAATCCATGTTTCTCTCTCACTCTCTTTCTCCCTCTCCCTTCCACTCTCTCTAAAAAGCAATGGAAAAAATATCCTAGCTGAGGATTAACACACCAAAAAAAGATGGCTCTTATGAAAAATTGCTGGGTGTTTGTATTTTCACCCATTCATTTATTCCAAGAACAGTGAGTTTTCTGATTCTGGATTCACAAAGACAAACAATGGATGGGCGGGGGTGGGAGGGGAAGGGAGGGGAAGGAAAGCAGACACCACAGAAAGCAGGTTGAACACTGATGTTTATTAGAGCAGAAGAGAAGGAGAAAATTAGATGACCACACACCTGGCGGCCCCAGGGGCTTCACTCTGCCGAACTAGACCTCCCCACGTCCTGGGAGCAGGCAGCCTGTCCCCAGGCTCTGGGGGCCCAGCTCCATCTGCCGCAGTAGACTCTCGTGCTGCCCACCCTCCCAAACTGGGAGGAAGGCCCCTGGGGTGAGGGTGGGGGGTCACTACTTTAAGCAGTTGGTCTCAGTGAGTGATGCAGGTTAGTAAAGTGAAGCAACACATGCGTTTGCCATCGATCCCCACAGCAATCTTCGCCATGGCCACAGTCGTAAGGTCTGATCGGACATCCGTTTCCGCAGCTGAAAAAATTAAATGCAAGAAGGAGCCTCCTCCTGTTTCGCCATTATCCAGGTCCATGTTGTCAAAGGGCTCCCTGGGAAAGAACGAGAAAATACTGTGAACATGATGTTGATGAGGATGGAGGGCGAGAAGGGGCGGGAGGAGGAGGACAGAGGGGGATTTAGGAGGAGGAGGAGAGGATGGCTCTCATGTCCTGAGCCCGTCCTATGACATGCCAGACAGCCTGCTTTCCATGCACTGACTTTTCTCATGCTCAGACCCAGAACCGCCACATGAGGGAGGAGCTCTCACTGTCCTCATTTCACAGATGAGGAACCTGAGAGAGACTCGGGGCAATTTTCCCCAAGTGGAGTCACATTCGCTCACGGACTCCTGATTCCAAGTTGATCAGTGCCTCCAGCATCCTCGTCCTCATGTAAATGGAGCTGTTAGGAGGGAGGCCTCTGTGGGATCCTGTTTTCAGGAGCCACCCACCCCCACTCCAGCTCACCAGCAAGGCCTGTCCTACCCGGAGGCAGAGGCCTCAGTTGCTCCTCCGAGGATGCTGCCCTGGGGCTCACTCACCCCCATAACCCCTCCTCTTGCCGGGCCTACGCAGTGGTAATAAGTGCCTCCAATCGAGGAGGCACTGACTGCGCCAGGCTCCACAGATATCGTTATTGCCCCAGTTTACAGGTGCAGACATGGAGACTCACAGAGGTTAGGCGACTTGCCCAAGGCCACAGAGCGGAAACACAGAAAGCTGAACCCAAGTCTGCCCGATTCCAGAGTCTGCGCTCCTAACTGCTCCCCGGTTGTATTTTCTGGAAGAAGCCAAGCTCGGACTTCCAGTGCTGGAAGACCAGGGTCCCTGGTGCAAGGGGAGGAGCAGGCTCCAGAGGCTGCAGGGACCGGAACAGGGAGGCCTCCCCTGACCCCTCGACAGCAGAACTTCTGTTAAAGCCTCTCAG